TTGAATGGATTGTTGGACTTGTCTGTTTCACTGTAAATAAACGCACTGTGTTTCTGTGAGCAAGAACCGCGCCTGGGTCCCTCTTTTCCGTGACAGTTTTGCAAAATAACCTCAGACCATCACACTACCAACACCATATTTTGCTGCTGGTAAAATGTTCCTTTCCTGAAATGTTGTGATGCTTTTACACCAAATGTAACAGGACACACCATTACATTTGGTGCATTACTCTGTGCATGCGGGTGGCCACAGAGCCCAGGAGGCAGGGTTATCCTGGGACAAGATCTCGATTTTTATCTGGGGGATTTTGATAAACATCAGAATTTTGTTGGTGAGATCTGTGATGTGAATATGTGGGACGTTGTTCTGGCAGATAGCGTGATACAAGGCATGTTTGCAGGGGAGAGAAAACCAAGAGGAAATGTTTTTGACTGGGAAAACACAGAGCTGATAATTGGTCAATGGTCAATGGTCAATGGTAACTTTATTGTCCCTGATGGGAAATTGATTCGCAGTATGTCAAAACAAACAACAAACATACAACCAACACATCACGTACACTCATTAAAAAAATACTATAATATAATATATTATAACGGGGACGTAGAGGTCGCCACTCGTGAGCTGTAGTTATAATGCTCACCCACAGGAAAACTTGTGCAGTCAGTGAATGCCACCCATAGGGTTGTAAGAAATCTGATACTTTATTGATCAAAATGTGCATCAGTAATACTGACATCACTTCAGATTAATGTGTTTTGCGACCTAGTAAAAATATCTGCTCCATCCTTCTCTATGCCTGATAAATCATTTTGATTTCAGAAATGCCGGACCTTCTGACAGTCATGTGACAAAGGAAGCACGCCATCTTTCTGTTCTAGAGTTTAATGTAACTGAACATAATTTTAAAAAGTCATCATCAACAACAACTCATGCTATATTACACTGTGTCATTTCATTCATATATTCTCTCAAATATTTTAATAAGAAGTGCTGAAGATTCTACAATGTCTTTTAATTCAACAGGACGTATTAACGCATTAGTGGTTACGATTGACTACAGCTGGTTTCTCTCGGAGCATTTCCAAATGACTGCAGATTCCAAAATCCTCACTTCAATCAGCTGTATATGTTATTTAAGTTATTCAGAAGTGTCAACAGTTTGCCAAGGGCTGGAAGAAAACCCAAGCTGTCACCCTCAGGTGAGAGGAAACTACTGAGGATGTTTACGAACAAGACAGAACCCATCAAAGCTCAAGATATTTCCCCAGGTTGATTTTGAAGTCAAGTTTTATGAATTGATTTATGGACAACAATGGAGTCTCTGATCACCTGCTCTGTTTATTCGGATAAGCAAACCTGAGATATTTTCTGTTTGAAGGCTAAATGATGATACAAAAGTATGTATGACAGGTTTATTTTAACAACATTCAATGAACTGATCAACAGAGCACTTTATTCACCCAGTGTTGTGAATGTCTAGTTTTCCTGTGTTTATTTAAAACAGATACAGATGCAGCCTCTTTGCGCTTCGGTTCTGACTGTTTGCCTGTGGCGGGAGCTGTAGCCATGGTTACTGGAACGGG